GAATTTCCAGACGTTCAAGCCGGATTTAGAAGAGAACATTGAATGAGGCATAACATTGCTGATATCAGACATGTTACTGTGATTAGTGTTGACTACAGTCAGGTTCTCTCATTAATGTACTCATCATAGTCTTGTTAGGGCTCCTTCAGAAAGAAAGTATAAGCATAAGAGTGGCTACCGGAGGGATCTGTTGAGCCATTTAAAATACATGGCAGGGAGGTCAGCTCAGTGGCTGTTTTGTCGCAATCTAAAGGTATAATCCTAATAGATTTTCTTGAAAGACAGAGCCTTGTTAGGAAGAAGTTTTAAGAAATTTGAAAACTACTGGTGAGAAAAAGGCCAGGGAAGTTGTGCCAAGGAACTTCTCATCACACAATGCACTGTTCATTCTTTGAATATAAGAATTTCATTGGAAAACCTTAGTTCATCCACCCTACATCCCTGATCTTGCCCCATTAGACTTCATTTTTGTTTGCCAAACTCAAAGAACATTTAAAAGAAACATGGTGATAGTTCCCTGAGGATGTCAAAACTGCCATTTTGATGTATAAATCAAAGAGCACAGAATTCTTTGGAGAAGGGTTATAGAGATGGAAATACTACCTTCAAAAGAGTATGTACATAAATGAGGGTATGCTGAGAAACAGTAGCTTCACATTGTAATATTTTTGTTTATTAAAGGTTTCTATGAATTTTGACTGATCCTTATACTTATGATCATACTCTTTGGCTTTCCTGGACTCATTAGAATTTTTTTATTTCAACTTGAATGTGTATAAGCAATCAATGGCTTATTCTGCAGTCGGCCCTTCTTTTTTCTCACTGATTAATCATACTGAGCTTCTCTATTTTCTCTTTCCACAGATGTATTTGATTTGATTCTTGTGTATTCCACCTGGTGAGGTTGTTCTGTATTGTAACCATTTATGTTGTTGAAAACTATTTCCTGTGAATAGGTGATTGTTCTTGCAAAACACTACCATGCGATCTTGATCATTTCTATCACCAAGGCCATATTTATCAGCTACTGATCCTTCTTTGTTTCTAGCTTTCCCATCCCAATCACCAGTAATTATCAATGCATGTTGGTTGCATATTTGATCAATTTCAGACTGCAGCAGTTAGTTAAAATCTTCACTTTTTTTATTTTTGACATTACTGACTGGTGCGTGAATTAATGATACTATTAACTGGTCTTCATTTTAGGCATATGGATATTATAATTCTATTTTTATTATATGTTGTTGTTAAATGCTGTTGAGTTGGCCCTATATAGGGTTTTCGACAAGCGGCTGGTGAGTTTGAGCCATGGACCTCGCAGTTCAAGCCAACTTTGTGGTCCAGTGCTTATCCTGCAGTACCATATAGGATATAATTATTGTTTTATCACAGACAGTATTGTTCTTCAGGATAGCTCTTGAAATATTCAATTAGCATTTACTGTGACATTGTTTCTCTTCAATTTGTGATTCCTGGCATACTAGACCATATGATTTTGTGATCCAGAATGGCTAATACGTGTCCATTTCAGCTCATTAATGTCTAGGATGGAGGCCTGGTGTGGGATAATGCAGTGTGAAATAATGCATTAGACTGCAAGTTCGGTTTGAGCAGCAAGGTTGTCGGTTCAAATTTACTAGCTGGTCCTTGGAAACTCTATACAGGGTCGCTGTGAGATGCAACCCACTCCAAGGCACTTAACATCACCAACATTATCTAGGATATTGACCTTTAAGTGTTCTGTTTCATTTTTGATAACTTTAAATTGTCTTTGATTCATAATTTGTACATTTTGTGGTTACAAATCGGACTGGTAACCTCAGGGTCAGCAGTTCAAAACTACCAGCAGTTCCATGGAAGAAAGATGGGGCGTTCTGCTCCCATAAAGATTTATAGCCTCGGAAACCCCTGTACAGGGTCTCTACGAGTCGGAATCGACTCCACGGCACATCACCACCACCATCACCACTTTCTACTTATTAATGGATGTTTGCAGTTTTCTCTTTTTGAGTCATGGCACATCAGCAAATAGAGGTCTCAAAAGTTTATTCTATTTATATCATTAAGGTTGACTCTGCTTTGAGGAGGCAGCTCTTCCCCAGTTGTATTTTTAGTGTCTTCCAATCTGAGGAGCTCATCTTTTGGTGCTATGTCAGACAATGTTCTGGTGCTGTTCGTAAGGTTTCCATTGTCCTGTTTTCA